TTACCATCTGGGAAAATGTTACAGTGCGTGAACGCCATCAATGATACAGTCCAAGGAGCCTGTTCTCACGAGAATTTACTCGGATTTTGTGTCGTGGGGTGGGGGGCCGGGGGATATCCACCGAGTGAGGAGAAAAGTGACATTTTCTGGGTTACTTACAAACACGTTATGGGACAAATGGTGCCCCGACGTGAACCTTTAAAACCACAAAGTGAATGGGAACGTACGGAGTTGGATTTTGCGCACACAGCCACAAAAATAAATAAATAATCATCAATAAATCAATAAAATCACAATTAGTTCCATCTTGACACTTGCTACATGACCCCCCGCCCCCTTGCGCAGCCCCCACCTAAAAATCAAAACTATAAATACAGCAACAGAAATCGGAAGATTCGGTTCCAAAAGTTGGGCGTTGTAATTCGCCGAAAAGTGTCCATTTTTCACCGAACGAGTGTTCCAAACGTAACGAGCGCTCCCCTTCTTTCATCCCCGCCGCTTTGATCACGACAACCTCCATGCAGAAAATTGATGACCTGTCGCTACTTAGTCCAATTGACATTTTCTGAATCACATGCAGACGCCACCCCACCCCCACCCACACCCCCCCGCCTCCCAAATATTTCTCCGAGTGACGTGATGTAGCAGATGTGTCCTGATTCTAACCCCTCGCCTACTTCAAACTATAAATATGACACCATCAATCGTGAGATTTGTGTCTGACAAGTCCGGCGGTTTAATTAAAGTTACAATGCCGACATTTTCTGAATGACTTGCAGGTCCCCCAAATATTTTTTTATGAGTCCTGTTATGGCCGCAGATGTGCCCTGACTCTCACCTCCGTCATTACATCGAAACTATAAAGAGTGTCAATCGTTGGGATTTTGTACAAAAAGTGACAAAACAACCTTGGCCTCTTTTTAACCTCTCACCCACTTCGATAAATGAGCGCTGGCCTACGACGATATCATGTCAACTTTTCCTCGCAACTCCCAAAATGTTCCGACTGAATGTGAAAAAACTATTTTGACCTGACCCTTGACCTCTGACACACTTTTAAAACTTCACGAAATAGCGATGAGAAATAGTGGGATTAAAATATGCTGGTCAAAAAAAAATGTTCTGTTGCATTAATTAGAAGCCCTTTAAATGGATTTTATGACATGACATGACTTAACTCGAACTCCTAAATAGAACTTTTTAAATATACAATTGCGGCAATAGAATTTGTGCAAAAAAGTAATACACTGCAAAAATTAAAAAATTAACGTTTTCTGTGTTATTAGCCTAAATTAATTCAAGAAAAGTCATATATCGCTGGCGTCGGGTGGAATCCTTGTATCTCCAAAATCGCTTTTCAGAATCATTTTTTAAAAAAATATATATTTTTTTTTTTTAACGTGTTGAATGCCCAACAGAATAGATTTGTGGGGAAAAAAAGATGAAATGAACTCAATTTTGAGATAGGAGGTTCTGGCCCAACACCAGCGATATACTAACACACATCTCGCAACCGTTTGACAAGATGGCAAAGCAAATTTTGTACAAAAAAAGTCAAAATTCACCTTGTGTGGACTCCCTGCAGCTGCAAAATATTTTAACTGAATGTAATCTAACTATTGTGACTCGACTCGAACGACCTATTTTTGAAAATGTGGCTGGAATAGTCCTCCTTTTTTTATTATTTTTTTTAACCAAAAAAAAAAAAAAGGAATGCACAGTAATTAGTCGAAAATGTGACATCTTCTTGGACCGAATGCACTTTTGTGTCAAAACGTTTCAATTTCAGCCTGGCACAGCCACCGAGGTATGTGGCCACCATTGTTTTCCGCCGCCGCTTTCACATTTCATGGCGGTCCTGTTTCTGGAAAATCGTCCAGTTCGAACTCAGTTCAGGTGCTTAACTTAACTGTAACCCCCGACGCCCCCCCCCTCCTCATTCCCTCCCTTCCTTTTAAATTCCCAGCGGAGCTGTTATGTTTCCAAAGGTTGGGTTTCCACGTCGTAATTGTACGCAGACGCGGCTGATTCGGGCTCTCGGACCCTCGGCGGCCGAGCCTTGCGTCAGTCAAGTGGATTGGAAGTAATCAGGCGGCCGCGCAGGTGCCTCGTAATGACGTGCCTGTGAGGGCGACGCGTGGAACACAAATGGCTGTAAAACACGCCGGGTTGGAGCGGCCGTGGCCAATAATTTAACACACCCGTGTAAAAAAAAAATAAGGGGGGGGGAGAGGAAAAAAAAATAACCAGGGCCTGCTTTGGGCTGCTTTTTTTTTATGATTATTTTTATTTTATTTTTTTTATTTTTTTCGAATTAGTGAGCCTCCCCCGGTCACTGGGAACCTGCGAGGGCGCGCTGACAGGCTCATAGTTACGACATGGAGACAATGGGAGGGTCTAATGAGGAACATATGCTTTTGTGTTTCCACAGAGCCGCTCATTGTGCGAGGAAAGGGATACTCCACTCCCATTCAGAGCGGTCACAATGAAAACCCGAGCCGTTCCCCGAGCCGGTTGAGTTTACAATATCCCCCCCCCACAACCCAGCCCCCTCCCCTCTTTCTTCCATTGCCTCCTGTTCCTTTTCTCTTCCCGGCCCTTCTCCGTCGCTTGACTTTTAATTCTTCCTCCTCCCCCTTCGCGTTCATCCCGCTCGCATTGTTACTTAAGTTACACGTTTTGTCCGGCCCGATTGCGGGAACAATGCGCGCGCGAAACTCTTGAATGACACCAAGGCGAACATGAAAGGCGCCGTCGCCTGCTTTTTGCGCCGGCGACGCAGCAGCATCCCTCTCTTGTCTGTGTCCTTGTGTGCGTCCGCGTGCGTGCGCGTGTGAGTGTGTGTGTGTGTGTGTGTGCGTGCGCGCGAGTTTGCCCTGCAGACAGCAGTAGCTGCGGTAATCCATCCCGGCTCCCAGGGCAGCCGGCTCCTACTTCTCCATGCATGAGAAGCGGCTGGAGTGGAGTGGCAGCAACAACTGCTCAGCCCGATTTGATTACTAATAAGAGAGTTGTCCCCTCTGTCAGATAGCAGGCATTCGCCGCTAAGCAAACAGTGATTCCGCCTAGTCAAACATTAGCATTGCTGTCTCTCCCTTACAACGTGGTGAGAGTTACATTGAGATGCGCCCCCTCACCGCCCCCCCCCACACACACACCCTTTCCCTCCATCCCCTCGCCCTGCCTCACCTCCTCAAGCTGTGTGAAACACATTCAGCATCACTCGTGAATCTATTTGGACATTCAAAGAGCAGAAGGAAATACTGTACGAATGAGTAGCAGCGGCGTGTATGTGCTTGTGCCTTTAAGAGGCGGGGCATCGTCACGTGGGCGAAAGCAGTGGCCGACAGCAGCAGCAGCAGCAGCTTCGAAAAATTTGAAGGCAACCAAAAATATTGATTGGACAAAATAATCCATCTCAAATCTTCAACATGCTGAGAGTGACATTGTAACAACACACACACACACACACACACACACACCTCCCCCTTCCCTCCCTGCCTCGATGTGCACAACACATCTTGGGCACGATTTGAGCGCTGCGTTTGTTCGCCCACTTTGGATGGGAAAAAGGAAGGTCACAGCTCTGTGGCGGCTTCCCTCCAGGTGTGAGCAACACAAGAACAGGAGATAGACAAGCGCACAGACCTCCCCCAAGGTGAAGGGATAAAATCAGAAGAATTTTGGATCACATTTTATACTTTCATGCATGAATATCACAAATGAAGGAAAATGGCTCGTTACAGCTGCGGAATGTGCAAAAAGACTGTTACGGCTTTCGTAAAGGTTCCTGTTAGGTTCGGGTCAAATGGACCCATTTTTGTGATCGTAGCTCTCGTGGAAGCGTCATCAACAAATTTATCAATACAATGTAGTTGTAAATCTGGACACATTGGCCTGTTTAATAAGTTGAAAAGTCGTATGGAAGTGTAAGAGCAACTCAACATATGTGACTGAGAAATAAGCCGGATTTAAAAATGACTTTTGCATTTTTGGCCTTGTTTTCAGTGTTAAAATCTGTTTTTGGTTTTTGGGTGTCGTCGTACAACAATGAAATGAGTACATTTCGCCTTTTTGGAAGTTGACTTATCAATGAGATGTAATCATTGTGCATTGGGATTTTTTTATTTTCACTTTTGGATCACAAAACCTGGCTTGGGTCAAATTGACCCAGTAACATTATTGTTGTTCCTGAGAAATGAACAAACCGGGAGACTTACATGTCACATTCAATATTACACATTTAAGACCACTGAATCTGTTTATGTTTTGTTGTTGTTTTTTAAAATCAGCACAATTTTGTGCCGTTGATGTTTCCGCCATCGACTTTTGCACAATAGCGTAACTGTACCGACAACAAATCAGCACCGTGACGGGGATTCTTGCCAAACGAATCATACGTCTGAAGTGTGACGTCTCGCTGCCTGGCAAACAAAAACGCTGCTCGCTGGAGGTAACGTCTGACAGCGTGATCAACAAAAGGGGGGTGGGGG